GGGGTGATGTGCTGCCAGGGCTTGGTGTGGGTTAACACCCTGGCAGCTGAGTTCTGGACGTACTGCAATCTGTCTAGGGCTTTGTTGGGCAGCCCAGACAGGACACCATTGCAGTAGTCCAGACGGGAGGTGACAAATGAATGAATGAGAGTTTCGGTGACTGAGTCGGTAAGTGACGGCCGGAGTCTTGAGATGTTACGGAGATGAAAGAAGGCAGATTTAGTGATGCTCTGGATGTGGAAACTGAGTGAGAGTGTGGAGTCCAAAATGACACCCAGGTTCCGCACTTTGGGCGATGGGGAGGTGGGACAGCCATCAATGACCAAGGTGAGGTCTCCAACCTTCCTGAGCAGCGGTGCTGGGGCCACCACCATGAGCTCGGTTTTGTGGGTGTTGAGTTTCAGAAGGTTGTTGGTCATCCAGGTTTTGATATCAAGGAGACAGTTGATAGTTGATAGTTGACAGTTGCGCTAAGTTGTATTTGTGGGAGTTGTGAGGAGGGCGTAGTGCTGACATACAGTTGGGTGTCGTCTGCGTAACAGTGGAAACTTTAGGCCACACCTGTCACTTGTCATGGACTCCATTAGAACACAGGAGTAAGGCAGATCGAAGTTCATCTTCTAGAAATAAGATTGACCTAAACACTAAACCAGAAGTTAAGTGGATTAACTATATATAATTTCCATGTGTTTAAAATTAGCCTAGTCAAAGCTCAGACCTCAGTGACTTTTAAGTTTAGTTGCAGGGTAAAGAGGTTCAGCAAAGTATTAATTCATCAAGGCTGAGTACAAAATAAATAACAAATCTTTTTCCTTTTAAATTGTAGTACTGAACTAATTTGTGCATAAAATCCTCCTTTTAAGTTTGATATTTTTGAAAAATATTGTGACTGCAGGTGGTTAATTTAGCCATTAAATCAACACCAACCACTGTTTAATCAAACTATTAATCACTTTATTTCTTTATGAAAGCTTCCTTTCATTTGTCACCGTTCTACTTTGTTAGGATGGAAAAACATTTTGTTTTGTGTGTGTGTCTTTAGAACAACATTTTTTACTGGGAGCATGAACTGGCATCAGCATTTCCATCAGAAATAACAAAAGTACAATCTAGAAGCTAAAGAGATATTTTTTCTAGGCTCTCTATCTTTTGCAAAAATAATAACAGGAATCAATAGTAAGATGTTTTTTTTCATATTGTCCTTAACATAAAGTATTCAATATTAACAAATTAAAAGTTTAAGAAAGTGTTGTGGGGAAAACAATTATTAAACTATGCAATCCAGTTAAATAAAGGACATAGATGGTAATTCCCTCAGTCTGCATTTTATTATCCTGATTTGCAAAGAGAGAACAAGGCAATCAAAGCAGCTTAATGGTTCCATGTTCTCACCTGTTCTGGTTAGACAAAAGCTCCTCTCACTAACTTGAACCCTGCAGAAAAGCTGTGAAGGATGTCAGGGCACAGTTTATCAAAACAATTACAGACAATTGGAGAAAACAGTAAAATGTTATGAAAAAAAACCCTGAGAAAAGAATCTAGCTTGTTATGAGAACAATTATTTATATCACACTCCCTAGTAGGATAAACAACTCCTCTCCCTTAGACACCATGAGGCTTTGCAGCTCTGAGGCCTGAATGAATGAGTGAAATGAGTAAATGTAAAATCAGCACTCATGAATCTATATATGTAAAAAGGAATTAAGTCTTGGCTTGCGATCACGTGCCGCAATCACTTCCTTTTAATTAAGTGGTGGTCAGGCCAACTAAAAATGGCTGCCGATGTGCAAAGAAAATGCGACTCTTCTTACAAACATTTTTGTGCTTTAGATTCTAATTCTTGAAATTGATACATCGATGTGTCAAAATGTGCGATGGAATAGATCCTTATGTGTTATCCAAGAATGATTTGACTTACGATTTGGCAAAATACCCGCCAGTTAATTTCCCCGATATCTCAAAATATCTAGTGTTACTAGCAAGCTTTTCCAATGCTAAACAAATGAAAGCTTGGAAAAGCATGGATGCCTACAAGTTTTTCATCTGTGGATGGGTTAAAGAAGTCGGAGTTAAAGTCCTGAAAGGCAAATCTTACATCATAAAGAGTCGTCTAAGTAACGATAATTATATGAACTTGTATTTACAATGTGTGTCTGTCAACAAAACATGCTCAAACAAATTGTTTCTGCTGTTATTTTCAGGTCAAACATTCATCTAAAATGCCAAATTATGCCTGATTACCCCAAGGCTTAAAATCGGGCTGTTTTTGCAGGTTCTAGCAACAGCAACCACCATCTTGGACCAGTAAATAAACAGCAAACAAAACAACAAACTTGTCTTTTAAAATAGTTTAAATGCATTTTAAACCACTGCTCATGACACTGAAAGGCTCTTTATATGTACATTGTTGTCGAAGTGAATTACTAATCTTTAAAAAAGTGATCTTTACAAACTTGCATTTTTTGACTCAGCTCCCTTCGAAGTCAACAAAATGTTAGCAAGCCATTTTCCCCTGCATATTTTCGTAAAATCCTTGCAAGGCCCCTTTTTAATATCTTCAAGTAAACCAGTAAACCTTTTTAATATCTTTAAGTCAAGTCAAGTCAGCTCACGAGGAACCCGAAAGTATCCTTTATCGGTCTCGTGATTCGATATGTTAGAACAACCTAAAAAAAACACATGCAAAAAAGCATATTGGACGCTCGTTAAACACATAACTCTAGTCGACAACTTGCTCTGCAAACCATCACTTCATCAGACGCATAAATAATGAGGCGGACGTAACCTCAATTGCAAATAAAGAATTGCCAATTGTTTTTTTTCCCACCAGAAAGTCTAAATGAAGCTGAAATTGTTAATAATTGCTTCTGATAAATTCAGCAAAATAAGATAACCTTTCTAAATTGTTACACCTTTTATTATTAAATGTGGGAATAATTTGCTGTATACCTTCTAAGGTTACTTTAGTTTGACATGTGGCGAATAAATATATATTGTCTAGACAGTTTTTATTCTTGTTTCTGCATTCAGGCTGAGCCTCTCATCCTTGACCTGCGTGACCTCTTCACGCTGATTTATGACATTAAACAGCGGGAGGAGATGGAGAAGAAGGCCCAGAAGGACAAACACTGTGAGCAAGCAGTCTACCAGGTAAGACTTTAAACCAAAGCTGGATTCTTTTTTTCATGCTGTGGCTCAGCTTGTACACAGCAGATATTTTATTTCAAGTTTCCTTTTGCTTTGAGCTTCCCTATACTATCTATTGATGTACTGAGAAGGTACATAGCTGTGTATTGGTTATTTATTCTGCACGTGCACGGTTTTTATATTGTTTATTGTTTATCTTTTAACTCTTCACTGTTACGGTATTCTTATACAATTTTCTAAGGTCCACATTGTGTGACCATTTTTCTAAATCTTTTTGCTGCTTCAAACACCAGAATTTCCCCATTGTGGAACAATTAAGTGATTTTCTATTCTATTCTATTCTATTTTATTATTATTCTACATAAAATCAAGTGATTTTGACCCATTTTTCATTTCGATTAGAAAAGTGCTGATGTCTGTGTTGTACTTAAATATTTCTTTAATTGAAGCAACTCACTACTGGTGTGTCGTAATGCTTGGCTACTAGTAAAAAACTGGGATGACTGTTTTGTTTTCTTTCGGCTTCCTTTCCTAATTTATTTTTTCTTATGAAACTGAAAACCAAAATGTGTCATCTGCCCTCTTCCACAAACGCAGACCATCTTAGAGGACGAAGTGGATGATCCAGTTTACCAGGTAGGTCACTGGGCTTTATAAGCAGAAACAAATCAGCTTGTACTGTTTATCTAGATTCACTGCTTTTAGAATTTTAATTCTGGGATTTAAAAAAAGCAACCTTCTTATGAAAATAATTTAATAAATTGCTTCTTTCTCCAGCCACTGATCTGCTTGAATTAATATTTCATAATATTGCACCATTCAGTAATACACAGTAGACCATCCTAGTGAACAGTTTTGTTCAACCATTCAACTCCCATTTTGCCAGTGCAGTGTTGTAAAACCATATTTTCCCAGTGAATCTGTGTCAGTGTTCGGATTTCCTCCAAAGACATGTCCTCACTTCCCCCAACTGGATGTTATCCCACCCCTACTTTTTTGCCCTGCATTTATTCGGCTCAACATGACTTTTTTTTTTTTTTTTTACTCTGTGTTTGCTCACACTGAATACAGACAACACTAACTCTTACTCTGAATGCTATGTTCAGTGGTACGTCCAGTTGCCCCCAGAACATCTCTGGTTTTTAGTCTGATGTGTTTTTTTACATGATACCATTCCATTTGTAGCTTTGAGTTTTTGTTGGTGCTGGTTGACAAAACGCCTGATTGTGGACAGAGACTTTGACATTTTGGGATATATATTAGTTTAATGGCTTTCTTAGGAGGATTAAATCCATTCCAGTGAGTGCATAGGCAATTTGGAGCTGGCTGAATGGTGCATTTAATTATTGCTCAGAAGCTGGAATTTTCAGCATCTGTTTTGTGAAGCTTTAATAAATAGCAATAAGGGGAATGTAATTCGATGAACAGTGTGTCAACCTTTTACTTTTAAAATAGATTAGAAGCATGGTACTGAAGCATGCCAGGGCCGGATTCCAGGCTCAGAGGCCTTAACCGTGCTCTTGATTAGAACAGGTTCAAAAAGGACCAGTTTGATTATTCCTTTTGGACTCTGCTGCCACTGATGAGCAGGTCCCTTGGATCACTAATTTTACATGGAAGGCAAAAATGTTTCTCACTATCCCCTATTTGGAAATACATTTATTCTTGCATTAAATATACATATTTAAACTAATATAATATAATAATACATAATAATAATATATATATACATACTCTCAGGCACTGTTAATCGTCTCTATTGACAAATCATTTTACATTAAAGGTCCTATATTATGTTTAAGCCCTTCAAAGTCAAATAATGGCATTTAATATTATAGAAATATTGCCTTTGGTCTTTATTTTTTATTATTTTTTTGTTCTTTTTGTGGTGCTATTGTTCCAACCTGGAAGAAAGACACTTACCTTCACTGCAACATTGCCTTTACCCTTTCCTTTTTTCTAGAGCACCTGCAGTATTTTTTAGGAAGGATTACCGAAGGCTGATCTAAGTCACATTTTCTTAGACATCATCTAAGAAAAGACATCTTAGATTTAGACACTGTCTTTAAAAAAAGAGGGATTGCTGTAACTGTGCAGATTAGCTGCTAAAAGAGACAAACCTTTTAAACTTTGAGCTGAAATAATCCCACTACGGGCAAGTTGTTTCCTCAGCATGTAGGGCAAGGTCAGAGTAGGTGTTTCTTAGAGGAAGAAACGGATAAATTTTCTGTGTAATACATTGATGGACACGTGTGTTCCAGGATTCAGAGAAGAATTTACTGGGATTACTCAGACATGCATAAAACAAGTGACCACTTTGTGCATGATTTTTATTAAGAAATAGCATCCTAATATGGTCAAATTACACAGTTAAAACATTGATTTTGCATGATACAGCCCCTTTAAATGCAGCATATAGTATTTTATTCTGTCAGGTAGTTTAGGTGCGATTGCAGTGTTTTAATGTAAGGAAGACAGTTTTATCTTGTATTCTCCTAGCATTGGTACTTAAAGCTAGCCTGAAGAGAAACTGAAATCATACTGCTTTTTCAGCCTATAGCTGAACCAGAGTTAAGTTAATGATGATATAATGAAGTAGAGCCTAATTGTTCAGTTCCAAGTTGTGGAATGGTCTTAAATGGTCTGGAGAGGATAGCAAGGCTGCTCTGTCACATTTTTTTGTTGCATTATGTGTTTTGCTAATGGCAGTTATCAGCTGTATGTAACGCCATTCCTCGATGAAAATTCCACCTTCTGAATATGTTGCATCTTTTGGTCATCAACCTTTTAGTAAAAGCTTAACTGTCCTCACAGCTTTGTTAATGCACTACCAACCAGTTATGTTTTGAATCGTTACCCATATCTCCCAAAATGTCAAATTAATTTATTCAATTTCATTTCATTTTTTTGTGGATTTAAAGTGATGAGGTTTTGAAAGACAAAAAAAACTGAAGCTATTTTTTTATACTAAATGTGGAGTTTCACTTTGCTGAGGCTTCAGCTTAGACCTCCACATTGCCTTGAACGATTGCCTGACTTGTTATACTTGTGCTCTTTCCTCTTCCCACCTCACTCTTTTTTTTCTTTTTTCCTCCCTCTTTCCCATGCCCCATTTTTTGCACCCTTCTTTTTCCTGATCTCATTTCACTCTCCATTCAACACCATCCTGGCTCCCTCGTGCTTTCACTTATTCTGTTCATGTCTCCTGACCTCTATCTCTCTGTTTTATGTGCCATCTTCTCTTGCTCTCTCTATGTCCTCCCCTCTCATTATTTTCTGCATCTCTATGCTTTGACCACTGATTCTGTTCTATAGTATATAGTGTTTGAGGCTGGACACGAACCCCTCCGTGGCCCCCAGTCAGAGGAGAGCGTTTATCAGGTACAAAGACAAGTTTTGCCCCACTTTTTTCTCCCTCTTCATACCTTGTAATAAAAAGATAGCAGTTAATATTATTCAGGTGTTACCTGCAGTTTACTGACTGATTTTTATGGTAGGACTTTATTGAGTTTTAGTAACAACATAAAAGGATTAAAAAAAAGTAGGTTTGCAAAACATTTAAGAAGTGGAAGCCTTAAATTGCACTCGCATTGTTGAAATGTTGATTTAAAATTGAAATTAATTAAATTTCCTCAAAACAATTTGCCCTTTAAAAGATTTAAAGACTTATTTTTCCTTTTTTGTTATTTAGGATCATCTTAAAAATTTACGATCTGACAACAGTAACCTGAGCAAATATAATATTTAAATTTTTAATTAATTCATTAAGATGCAAAATCTATCCAAACCAACCATTATACTGACTAATACCAGACGGGTAATTAAAAAATGACTTAAATGGAACCTCTCTGCCGACAGGAAGCACGTTAAAAGCAAATTCAGTGGCATTTATCAATCAAAAGAATAAAAAATAAACCTACATTGCGTGGACTCACACTTCAGTCAAATCAAAATTCTTCTGCAGCTTTAGCTCCCTCTACTGCAAACCCCAACATTCCTATTCTTTTCTGGATGCTATTCGAGTCTCATCCCTTGTGCCATTCAATTTTTTTTTTTTTTAGCTTTTCCACACTGTATAGTGTACCTCCACTGGGTGCAGCTGACTAACTCGGCTCCCTTGTTTCTTATTGTTAACATTGTCTATTTTAATCAGATTAGTTTTATTTGTCACTCAGCCTGGAGCAGCACTCCAGTAGGGTGAAATTGAGTTCTAGAACAACATTTTTGTACAAAAAAGACAGAAGCAACCATTGCTACCATCAAACGCGAGGCCTTTTTATTAGTTACGTTTTGTTCTTTAGTCATTATGGTGGTTGAAAACAAGTTTAAATGACTAATATCACCCCTTCTGTCTCATTCTTCACTCTGCATGAATTACTCATGCCAAATATCATAACACTGGCCACTCTGTCTTATTACGATATATATGCACAAAAGTTATTTGTTTACTAAACAAAAAAGATAAAAATAAGGTGTATAACACAGAAATAAAATATAATAACTGATCTAATCATTTAATTAAAAAAACTTAGTATATATATATATATATATATATATATATATAGTACGTGACTAGGGCTCCTTTATAGAAGAGCACCTAAAGTAGCAAAGACCTTCTTAGCCTCATCTAAGGTCAGTATTATGATCAAACCTGAAGAGGCAGGGCTAAAATGGCAGCCATGGGAGAGTTCAGAGGGTTTAATGCCCTACTGACCTGCTATTTAGAAGGACAATGATCAACATCACAACACCAAGTCCAGCATAGCAACTGCTCAATAAAAAAAATGTCTGACAGTTTCTCAAAGTCAGGATTCACGCTTTATAGAGATATTTTCAAAGGACCTTAAATGCAGTTCCAGTTCCTCCACAGAGACGTAAAACAATCTTTGCCAAGTTTTACATATAATCATACACTTAATATCAGTTTTTGCTGCACAAACAGTTATTAAGTTCAGAGTACAACTACTTCCTCATAAAGGGCCGGTTGGTTTGGATACCTTATCTTAATAAATAAAATTATTATTTCAAAAGTACAGTTGTATTTACTCAGGTTATCTTTGTCTGATAATAAAATTTGTTAACAAAATATTTAATTGACAAAAAGGCAAGAAATGACACTGTATATTGAATTACAGTGTTTTGAGGGTAGCTTAATTCATCCATAGTCTATATACTAAGGTCTTTTTGTACATCCAACACCCTGACCTTTTGATTTTGGACCATTTGAAGGACCACATAGAACCCCAGGGACCCGTGGTTACGTTTTAATCCCACCCTCTCCCCTCCTGGTCCCCGATCTTCTTCTTCCTCCTCCTCTTTCTGCCTCTCTAAGGATGAAAGTTGCAGAAAGAGAGAGAGAGAGATTAATCACTTGCCATGCCATTTGATCTCAGAGTGAAACAAGATCAATAGACTTGGGGGGGAAACATAACTGAAAGTTAACCAGTTGAGGGAGCGGTTGAAGAGGCGAGCAGCAGGGTTAAGAGCAGCAGATAGCTTGGATAGCTGTGGGAAAAAAAGGCATTGAGGAAAAATGCCCGAGCTGATGCATTTTCATATCATCAAATAAGACAGCGTACTTTTGTTGAATAACAATAGGGTTCCTTAATACACACTGAACCTCCTTCAAGCTTTGTTTGCCATCAGTATCGATTTAAACAGAATTGATCCAGCAGCTCCACTGTAGAATTTGCATAATCCTGCACTGCTAAAAGATAAGAGTGCGACTAAAACATTAGCCTGGATGGAAATTGATTGAGTAAACCTTTTGCTGTTTTAATAGACATGTTTTCAGCTTTTGCAAAACCTATGTGTTTAAATTCTTGGCTAGCAAAGGAAAAGTGAAAGGTGTTGATCTGTGCCTTCCATACCAATCGACATCCGATCTAATGCAGGTCCCAACCAGTCAGCAGAAGGAAGGGATCTATGATGTTCCTAAGCGCCATTTCATGACTGTAGGTGTTTTCATTTTGCATTATTTACTTATTTTGTTTTTATTTTCTTACTTTGTCGCTTACAAACCTCTCTTTAAGCCCCTCTTGAAGGGAGTTCCTTGAGCCATACCTGACAGATTTAAATTATGCTCAAAGATTTGCTCAAATTGAATAATAGTTGAAGTACAGTAGCTTACAGAAAAACTCACATCCTCCTTTTAACTACATCAGATGTTGTCTCTACAGCCAATGCATTGACTTGGATTTAAAGGAGTGGACCAACACAAAGTACTGCACAATGGCAACATTACCACAAAAGATTTGTCTGGTTTGTACATTAATATCAGTAGAAATCCACCTATTCTGTGAAAGCCTGTAGAAAGCATTCATGAAGACAAAACAACACAGCAGACAGGTCAGATACTATCCTACGATGAAGTTTATTGCAGGCTAATGTTGTAAAATCTTTGAGTTGTTACATCCAACTCAATTCTGCATAATTTATCATCTAAAAATTAGGAAAATATGACATAAGCTGGGCAAAGAAAGCATTTTAAAGACAAGTAGCCATTAGAATCTACACAACTCCGGAGGAGCTGCAGAGCTCCACAGCTCTGGTGGGATAAGATGTTAATAGATCTCTTATTTCATCTGTGCAGCCTCTCAACTTGGTCTTTAAAGAATCATTAAAAAGAAAGATGAATTGTTGAAACAAGGTATCATGTAGAAGACATAGCAAGAAGACGGTGCTCTGGTGATATTAAACCAAAATGTAACCTTCTGGCCAACATGCAAAATGCTGTGTTAGTAGAAAATGACCTGACCACACATCATCTTCACATGCTGTTTGGATTATTTTCTTCACCAGGCACCAGTAAGCTGGTCAGACCTGATATTAAAGTCATTGGAGCTACAAATAAGACAATACTGAAAGAAATGCTGTAGGAGGCTACAGAAAATCATTAGCCTCTTAGCAAGAAAATGCCTCCAAATATTAAGCAAAAGGTTAGAATAGAACTCTGACTTAAACTATGATACAAGCTGCTTTCCTAAACATATATGTTATAGAATGGCTGGTTTTAACATTGTAATTTCAACTCAGAGTTTCTAAAATAACAGGGTGTGTAAAGACCTTTTGATATGTCCCTCTGACCTATCAATAGGCTGCAGGTAATGCATTTATCTTGGAGTTTCTTTTTAGTTTTCATGCTATTTTTAATGTTTAAAGCTTTTCTTTACAATAAAAACATGTTTTTATTTTATCATTTAAGATTTAGGAAATATTATGAATCTCTAGTTATCTTTTTTTCCAATTTGGTGAGTTGGTTTTATAGCTGTAGAGAGTTTTTAGTACAGCAAAACCAGGGGGCATAAATGCTCCGACAGACTGGCAACCTGTCCAGGTTGTAACCCACCTGTCACGCATAGACTGTTAGGCACCGTCCCCAACGCAACCCCAACGGATGGATGGATGGATGGATGGATGGATGGATGGATGGATGGATGGATGGATGGATGGATGGATGGATGGATGGNGGATGGATGGATGGATGGATGGATGGATGGATGGATGGATGGATGGATGGATGGATGGATGGATGGATGGATGGATGGATGGAGCAAAAATGAGTCAGTACACTCTAAAGTTTGCTAACCCCTAGTTTGATCAAATCCTAGCTAGATGCCATGTAGTCAAAGTGTTGACATCTGTGGCCAGTCTTGAAAACTGATTTCTCTCTGTCTAGTTTTAATGACTATGAAGTAATATTGTCGAAGATTGTGCATAAAGTGCCATTTACTGTAGTAGTACTTTGTGTTGGCCCATCACATAAAAGGCAAAATGAGGTGTGTGACTGGATCATGACACCTGAACAAGTTACAGGGAGGCACTGCATTAATGCAGGGCATGGACTCAAAAAAGAAACTCAAGCCACAGAAGAACAAGATTCTGTGTTTGTTCTTTGTGTGATGATAATCAATGATAATCAGGCAGAGGGTGAAGCAGAATCTTGAAGACTTAAAGCCAACAAGTTGGTCGACCATAGTCGCCTGTAATTACACAGAACATTAGATGGGCCAGCTTTGTGTACAAAATCCAATCTTGTGCTGAATTAGATGCGTATCATAACCAGATGGTTGAGATGAAAAAAAAAATCTGTTTGCTGGTCCCATCGGACTGAAACGCCGAGCCTGTTATGCTCCGTAGATAACGTAATGGCTGTTTGTCTTCCTCAGAGGGGGAAAATGAGAGGTTTGTAGGTGGCTGAAGTGTTGAGTTGAGTTGCATGTTGTGCTGTTTCATTTAAAATCAAGGCCAAGAAATGCCCATAAAAAACTCCCCTATTTTAAAAGTAAATTGAAGCATTTAAGGTTTCTGCCCTGCTTTTATCAAACTGAAACTGGGTTCATTGCGAAATATCCACCATTCAGTGACAGTGCTGTCTCATAATCATGTATTCAAACCCATTTTACCCCACATTCACCAAAAATATATACATAAATAAAAAAGTCATTTGTGTGTTTGCAGCCCAGTATATCAGACAGATAAACTGTCTCAGCCCAGTTGCTATCGCACCTAAACAGCCCATGCCAGTTTAGGCAGCAGTGCTTCCATATCTCTAAGTGTTACTGCTTGTCTGTTCATTCAGTTGGAGCTTTTTGAGAGCCTGGAGCTCCTCTGATGTGTGTCAGCTCCCTCGGGGGAAAGTCCCCTGTGTACAATGTTTGCTCTTTTTTTTCCTCCAAATTCTGACTCATTCTGTGGCCCTCGATGGTATCAGCGTGCCGTGCAAACTGTGTTACCACCTTTATGTCCGAGCCTTATGGAGCAGGACATAAACACAACGTCAGCAGCAAAACCGACTGCTGTCCTTCCTCCTTCTCTTTTCTTTTTTTATTTTGTAACATTACTGTTTTTCTGTGAGTTTAGTTATAGCATGCAATTCTGTGTGTTTTGTGAGAATTCCCCGTGCTTTTTCACGTATTCACTGTCTGCTTAAGCATGGCTCCAACCATTCCATGCGGTTCTGTTTTGTTTGGGGTGTTATTTCCATTTCATGTTTACAATTTTTACTTGAAGGGCTGGAAAAATGTTTTTGCTCTCTGACAGATTTTCTTTCTGGTTTTGCTTTTTTTTCATATAAATGATCAGAAAATCCTTATATCTAAAAAGATCATCTGAGCAAATACAGATGTCACATGCCAATTATGAAGGGGAAACAGCTATCCTAGGCTATCCTTGGTTAGAGGCCACTAATGACATCAATCTTTTACACTAGTGTAAAGGATGTGAAATTCTACATTATCTGGTGTGGATTTAAATCCAAAGTTTGATTAGGGCTCTCAGAATCATTCTATTAAGATATTGCAAGTCCACTTGAGCTTAAAGTAAATTGGCTGGACTTGTTCCTTGAATATTTATAGCATAAAGCAGACTTTGTGGTTCTATTAGTTTCAGCAAGTCATCCATGTCCTGAAATGGTAAAACAGTCCGACTGTCCTGCTACTTCCACAGTGTTTAACTGTTGGGATGATGTTTATTTTAGGTTATTTCTTTTTTATCTAAAATGCATTACAGCAGATTTCTGGAGATTTTCTAGCCTCGTGAGACCATCCTGATCTCGCGAGCTTTCAAGGTTTCACTCGCAGATCAGTCTGGAGACTCTCCATTTAAGAAAATATGGAGCCGTTCATCAAACGAACGTCCAATCAGCATTGGCTTTGAGGCGGGTTGAGGTGTGACGCAACGAGAAGCGCGACAGTTCAGTCTAAAGAACATGGCAGCTTCAGCCGATGAAACTAGCGTTAGCTTCACTGAAAGAAAAGCAAAACACTGCTCTGGAGGCTTTTCTCAGAGGAAAAGATGTTTTTGCTCTTCTCCCGACTGGTTTCGTCAAGAGTTTGATCTATCAATTGGCTCCTCTTCGTCGTCGCTCTGTTAGTACGTCATATGCTTCGTTGATCTGATTGGTTTATTTGGCCCGTCTATCACCAACATAGGCCAATCAGCTAACCAGTATGATCCCCCTTCTCAAAATTACTTTAACGGAAGGTTTCCAGATGGATATGCGGAGCAAATCCATCTGACGGAGTCAGGTTAGAGATTTTCACCTTCCAGACAATTTCCCCATTTTTCTTTTTAATACCCATAAGTCTTGGATTTAAACAGGAGCTTCTTTGGACAAATTTTTTCACATTTTAGCCCAGTGTTTTTCTTATTACTAAACTGAGATTGCCAAAACTATTTGCTCACCCTCTTTGACTTGAATAGGAACTTAAGCTGCATTCCTTTGGTAACCTATAAGGTTCACTATGATGCTGCTAAACCCTTTTCATGGGCTATAGAGCTATCTTTTGCAATTGGTTAACAAGTGTTTATTTTAGATGTCTTGTGCACCTGTCCTAAAAAATGATCGAAACTGGATCTTGACTGGGATAGATAAATATCCCATATATTTAAATCCAAAACTTGACAGTTACAGTGAGAGTATTGAACACCCTGCTAATTAGCAAGTTCTCCGAATTGAAAATCATGGAAGGTTCTGAAATTGTCATTGTAGGTGCATGTCCACTGTAAGAGACATAATCTAAAAAATAATAAAATATAGAAGTCACAATATATGATTTTTTTTTTAAACTATTTGTTTGTATTATAAAGCTTGAAAAAGGTATTTGAACACCTGTCTATCAGCTAGAATTCTGACCCTCAAAGACCTGTTAGTCTACCTTCAAAATGTCCACCTCCGCTCCATTTATTATCCTAAATTAGATGCACCTGTTTGAGGCCGTTAACTGCATAAAGACACCTGTGCACCCCATACAGAAACCTGACTGATGTAGAGAAGATCTATGTGGAGGAGTGGGCCAAAATCCCTCCTGCAGGGTGTTGGTGCAAAACTACAGGAAACGTTTGACCTCTGGAATTGCAAACAAAGACTACCGTATCAACTAATAACATAGATTTTTTTTTTTCAGATGTTGAAATACTTATTTGTACCTGTATCATACAAATAAATATTTTTTGAAAATTACATAGTGATTTCTGATTTTTTTTTTTAGATTATCTTTCCCATTGGACATGAACCTACAATGACAATTTCAGACATCCTCCATTATTTCTAAGTGGGAGAACTTCCAAAATAGCTGGGTGCTCAAATAGTTATTTTACTTACTGTATGCTTTACACCACTGCATCAGATGCTCTGCATTGAGCTTGCCGATGTATGGCTTGGATGCCGCTGTGTAGCAATTGAAACCCATTCCGTGAAGCTCTCTATACACTCTTCCAGAGCTATTTCAAAAAAGTAAAAAAAACATAAATGAATCCTGGATGACTTGGAATCTTCACCAGCATATTCCAGAGCTAATCGGAAAGTCACTTGAAGTATGGCGTTCTATCAGCCTCTATAGGCATCAGCATCCGCTGTCCTGCTCCATCAGTTTGCATGGCCGAGGTGCTCGTCTCCACTTCTTTATAATATCAATAACATTTGAGGATTGAGTATTTAGGGGGAAAAGAACATGAGGTTGAAATTGATCAAGATCCTGAATGTGACTTACCTTGCAAGCGAGATGAATTGTTGCGAGATTTTTGAATTCATAAACTCACTAAATACATCTTGCCAGAAGCCAACATTATCCTCGATGCAAAAATGTTTCGGACCAATGAAATGCAGGGACATGTATGATGCCAAAGTGTCAATCAGAGGTGGAAGGCTGCAGCAAAACAAACATGGCTGTGCCAGTTTTAGCTGGAATACGTTTTAAAAGAACACATTTGTGCCTTTTGGATGGGAAAGACGTTTATGCGTCGCTCCCGACAGGATTTGGTAACCATTTGATTAATCAGTCAACTCTGCTAATCATGAAACATATCCAGAATGTGATATGTCACAGCTGCTATGGCTTAGGCAATTTGCTAAAAGTTCAACAGGGGAGGCTTGTGCCACTTAAATTAGCCAATCAGCTTGAAGAATTTTACTGAATGTCTCTCTCTTTTGCGTAACACTTTCTACGGGAGCCTTACCAGATTGATACTGTGTACAATTCAAATTGAACTACCTGTATTAATCTGGCTTGTGTCAGGTTGTACAAATTTTTGTTTAAAAAGTTTTGCAAGCTTGATGCTGGATTTTATTCACTTATGGCTAAGGAAGCAGTTATAGCGCATTATTTCAACTGCATGTATCTGGATGGGTGAGCAAATGTTTTGGCAGCATAGTGTAGAAGAACCCTTTACTGGGCTAACTGAAAATCTCTAAGGTTGTTTTTTGACCTCCTGGATGAATCATTGAAGCTCTCTTGGGGTCATTTTGGTTTCCTCCATTTGTGGGTAAAGGCTCTGACTGTGGTTCACAGGAGTGCAACATTTTTAAAAATGATGTCAATATTTTTGTTTCAAGTATTTTTTATCTTTTTTTTTTTTTACTTTTAAGGACCATTTAGACTACTTCATTTTGTCATACAGGTTCTGTATTTTACACTAATTGAACAAGAATCTGGTTTGGATAGGTATTTCCCCACAATAATTAAAATCATTATTTATTTTTTGTTTTTTTTTTAGGTTATTTTCTGTTATGTCTGGTTATTTTTGTCAGATATTAAAATTTGTCTTGATTGATTGAACATTTCAAGTGCAACAAAACAGCAAAACAGAACAAATCTGTCAGGTTGCGAATACTTCTTTCCAGCACTATACAATAAGTAGTGTGAGTAGACCACAGAGGGGGTAGTAGAGTAGGGGGTGTATGTCTGCATATATGGGGAGGTGGTCCCATGGTCTCGGTCTGGTGATTCCCAGGGCTTCTTCCATTATTGGTTGAATTAAACCCACACGTCTGTGTCTATGTATCTCCTCCTGGAGCAAAATCAGCATGATAAAGCGGCCCAGGCTCTCACCGGGACCGCTCATGATTGGCAGACATAAGAATATCTAATCAGAGTCTTTTTTATGGAACCCAATAGCCTTTTACCAACTCAATTATAGTGAAGCATGAAAGATTCATTTTAGATCCATTAACTGATAATGAAATGAGCGGATAGTTGTTTCTCGCCATCCGCAGCACAAAGTGTCTTTATGAATAGATTTTACTTTCCTCACCTAGCCAGCCGTGCAGCCACCGTTCCCCATGCAAAAATAAATCTGTCATGACTCAGTGTTTTCAGGTGCTGATGTATCACCAGACTTTTTTCTCTCCCCCCCCTCCCCCTCCCCCCTTGTTGCACGGTTCAACTCACAGAACATCAACCACTTTGATCTTTTCGGCGACATGTCCACCCCTCCCTCGGTGAGTACTACCAGCAAAACCAATTTATGTTTACTGTGATATCTGACAGTAGAAACCCACAGATCGAGGTTGAAGTGACTTTCAGCTGACTTTGATAGAGGTGACATCTGTGTATGCGTTTCCTCCCAGATGCCCCCGTCACCTGCCAACACGCTGGACCCGAACAGGAGCAGCCGCCAGCAGCAGCACACCCCCGCAGAGCTGTACGCCCCCTTCAGCCCGACCTCTGTGCCATCAGGTAGCCATCCACAGTTCAAATTTCAACTAAAATGCTAATTAGTATCACAGCAAATTCACTTTTTATCGCATAGAACTGTCTCTTCAGCAGGGTTGATTTATTTAATTAAAAGTCAGAAAAAATGACTCATAAGCCCATTTGACATTAAGCATGGAATATAAAGCAAATATCACATTTTTTTAAAGTATTCATATTCTTTTACCTGAAGCATTTTTTTTCTCACAAATACAAATCCCAATCAACTTTATTGACCATTTATTTAGTTAACAAACATATATTAATACAATTCTGTTTGGTGGAAAGAAGCATTCCAAGAAGGTGGTTGGGTTCAGATTAAAATATAAAAAATGTGGCCGCTATAAGTGAAAGAAGAACCAGGTCTGCTGAAAAGGTAGCTCCCGGTCATTTTGGTTCATGTCTATCCCAGTTTTGCTCATGCTAACACTGATACTTCTGGCTGTTTATTGACAAAGTACCATGAATTCAGTCAGACTGCATAGAGAATAATTGCAAGCGGTTCTGTTTTGCAATTAGAGTTGGAACTTCCTGTTAATGGTGAATTTTGTATTTGTACCTGGAGACTAACTTAAATGCCTGAATTACAAATAAAAAAATTGGGGCAAGAGCTACCTGCCGTCTGATTTCATGATAGCTTAAACTCGCATCAACAGTAATTTAACCGTCTGACTTTATCTTTTTTTTTTATGTAGCAGTTCTTTTTTAATCACATAAAAATTGGTCAGCTTTATACCAACTTTTTTCAGTGTTTATACTCAAGCTGTACATATGCATACATAGAATAGTTTGTTTGCCATTGCTATTGTTGGAAAAGTTGCATGAGTGACCATAGAGGTGAAATTGGAAAAATATCACCTCTTTGATTGCATCACACCAACTTTCCAGTTCTGCATTTCGAGGTCAATTAAATGCACCTCTGCTCCAACTGGCTTTCTTTTCTCTGCTGTAGAAAAGTGTCCTACAGTATGATGCTAAGTGGAAGGATTAAGGATTATTTTTAGTTTTTCTCCTAACCTAGTCATCTACACAGAGTTCCTTCTCTCTATCACTGAGACAGTTTTTTCTTGCATTTATGTTATTCAGATTTTGCATCGAACAGATTTCTCTCAAATGTTGGGGATCTTAGTTTATTACCTCCTTAACTCTTTAAACGCTTTAAACATCCCTGCAACTTCATCCCTGATTTCTGTGGTTCCTGTCTGGTCTCTTAATGTTCTGGAACCTCTGAGCCCTTCAGCTACTGAAGTGTTGATTATAAGAATAATGCTGTACTTCCTCTCGCTGTCTTTGTAGTTTTTTTTTTATTGTTTCCCTCCTTTTGTTTTTCTCCTTCAGGTTATATGACCATGGGGCCGGTTCAGGCGGCTCAGTGGGCTCAGCAGTCGTTTCCCACCCAGGCTCAGACTTTGGCATTCCCCATGCAGGGTCCCCTCCAGGTGGCTCAGGTCCTCCCCGGTGGCCAGCCAATCATCCTGAGCCAGGCCAATATTTTCCCTGCCACTCAGCAGCAGTGGGCGGCCATGGCAGCATATATGCCGACCCAGACGGTGGGAGTTGGGGGCCACGCTATACCAGCTGCCATGCTCCAAGGTTTGGTACCCATTACCACAGTGTGCCCCCAAGCCTGCGACCTGTCGGCCCCCTCGTCGGCCATCACAAGCCCCCAGCACATGGCGGACCCTGCCCTACTCATGAGGCAGCTGAGCCTGGGGAAAGATGGACTCAGCGTTGATTCGGACGCAGGCGAAGGCCCATCCACATCAGGAGGGGTGGGACCTGGAGCTGTGGCCGCAGGAGGGAGTAGGTGTGGAACTCCTGCTCCCATGAGTGCGCCTGACACGCTAGCCTGCAGTCAACTGCTGCCACCTCAGGCTACAGCCAACCAGGAGGAAGAAGGTAGCTGTAGTGACCTTGATCTGTCCAGGATGACTTTAAGCCCAGGAACATCCACCTCACCATCAACTGAATCACGTACGTCATTCTGAATAAGCTTTACTCATTTATATACAGGGTGTATGTAAAATGCATTTTTTTTTATGTTTTAAAACATCTTAACTCATCTAAACCTTGATAATGGTTTTAAAACTCAGGAAAACACCTTTATATGGAAGTAGCCTAACATCACAATATTTAATTGAAGTTGTTTTGACTAAACCAATGGTTACATGCCTTATGTACAGAACTGAGTTATCTAGGGAAACAGATCTTTAACTTTTCCAATCTGCATAATCTCTTAAAACTCTCCT